ATAGCCAACGGAACGATACTAATGTCCAACTCGAAGAACGCGTCTTCGGAGGAAGACAAGTCAGACGTGAACAACAAAGATCCTCTGCCTCCAGGAAGTTTCCCGCCTTTCTATCACGCTATTCCACCCGGCGCGGTCTTCGTACCGCCGCCCAGTAATCACTCCGACTACGACGAAGAGGATCAGTCCATCTACTATCCTCCACCTTACAGTTTTCACTATCAGCAAGACAACACGACCTCGGTACCACCTGGTCCTTTAGTCCCAGGAATCATTTTGCCTCCTCCGCCAGACTTCTTCTCTCCTCTAGAGGACAAGAAGAGTACGACGAAGAAGTACAACGTGAAACGACCTGTAACGACTCCGTCACCGAGAGCCAGACCTAGCTATCTGCCTCCTAGGAAGCTCAGCACGAAGCAATACAAAAGTACCACCGTACCAACCACGAAAGCTAGAACTGGTAGCACCAAGATGTACAATAGACCAAGTTACGCTAAAAATATGAACGATAGTACCAGTACAACGACTAGATCTACTTTGAAAACTGTTCCTTATGTAGAGCTGACGACAGTAACGCCGGATAAACCGACGACGCTGGATAACTCGGAGTTCTACAGCCTTGGTCCACTGATAGAGAACCAAGTGACGAGCAAAGAGAACGTCGCAGAGAAGAATCTCGCTTGGTCGAGCTTGGTGACCAGCAAAACGATCCCGATAGTCGCTTATTACGCCACGTCCACGCAGTCCACCTTGGAGAAGCCCGTGGAGGTGACTCCAGCCTCGATAAAGAGTATCATTACCACGAGCAACCCGGAACGAGCTCCCAGCCAAGCTTCCTATTACTTTTACGAGGAGACGAACGAGCAACCGGCCAATACCACTCCAAATCCTTCGTCGTTTTATTACAAGACCACCACAGAGCCTCCTTTCTACGAGACGATCGCTCAGCCGCGAGTGGAGGGGAAGAAGAAGCAGTACTACAGCGTGGAGACTGTCCCGTCTCAGGAGAAGGACTACAACGTGAAGTATATCGGTTCGCCGGTGAAAAATTCCGGACCAGTTCGCTACAGAGACTCGACGGTCACGCAAAGCTCGCCTGCGAGGACTCAGGGTCAACGCATGTTACCCGATCACGCGCCTCTCTACTATCAGACAGTCTCCACTCGTCCATCGGCTCAGCCCTATTACACCACAGCGAAGCCGCAGAGCTATTACAGACAGGAGAAACCGAAACCGATCTATCAGTACAGCTTCGAAGCGGCCGACTACTCGAAACGCGGCAACCAGAGGCAACAGTACGAGCAACGGTACGAGCAACAGAAGCAACCCTACAACGAGTACAGGAATCTGAAGATCGACGGAGGTTTCAATGGACAGAGATACGATTACGAGAACAACGAGTCGGTGCCTCAGAAGAGGATCAGACCTGAAGTGTACAAGTCTCAGCAGCCTGTGTATCCTTCGACCAGCGGCCACTCGGTGATAAGCACCACGCAGAACCCTCAGCACTCTTACTACACTCAGCAAGAGGAGAGATTCTTGGACGACGTGACGAAGGAGTATTTCACGATCTTCGGGAAAAAGCTACCACACAAGAACCTACCTAGCACGACTCCTATCTACTCCAAGTCGAACAGCGTAACAGACAGACCGGATTACAACGTGAACACCTACGTGGAGAACAATTACAACACACCCGAGCCACCTGTCTACAAGACGCCCAACGTGAAGGTCCACTACGGGGACCAATCGCACAGACCTTACTCCCTGAAGGACGACATTCTCGTGAACTACAGGCCACCTCTGCCTCCCATCAATCCCGACAGCGAATTCATCACCGTGGTGAACCCCGATCGGCAACAACCGCCTAATTACAGACTGCCCAACAGAGACGGCGAACTTTCGCAGCCTTACCCACCGCCCGAGCCTCTGGTGAGTCCGAGAAACAACGGACCACCCACGAATTACGTGCCCGTGGTGGAGTCTCCGGAAGAACTGGACGAGGCTTATCCGCCGTTGCCGATATCGCTCGAGGATGACATCAAGGTGAATTACCGCGATCCACGGCCTACCATAAATCCGGACGCCGAGTTCATCGAGCAGATACCGGTGCAGCAGAACCACCACCAGCCGGAAAAGCCCAAGGCTTACTTCGCGTACAGATTGCCAGGCGACGCTGGCCACTTTTACTTCCTAACGCCGCAGGCGATCACGCAGAGGCCGGATCAGAACGGCGGTCAGATCTACCCGAAGTCGAGGGGAACGAGACTGTTGAGACGCAGACGGAGGCCGGGCAACGTTTGACAGTAGCTCGGTAGAAACAGAGCTGCCACGCGATGCCATACTAATCACGTTCGGGAGGACGCACGCGATGGAGAGATGCGTGTCATATGGAACGAAGAACGCGACCGGGGGGAGAGTTTGTACTACGGTTATTAGGATATTTATTGTACCGTGTAAATACTATATATTTTCTACGTGTATCTGATTTTTTTTTTTTTTTTTTAAGAATAGTACTTGTAAGACGATTATTATTCGACGCCCTCGTTCACGGTAGAGAACGTATATGTATGCTTAATTTATGCGACCCTAACACTTTCTTACTTTCCTTCTTTCTCTTCGTCTCTTTTTTTTCTTCTTTTTCTCCTTTTTCCTGTCCCCACGCTTTGTAGATTGATACGATGATGTGTGTGTGTGCGTGTGTGTGTGTGTGGACGCCGCTCGCGTGCGACGATAGGCACCGCCGTGGATCTCTGCGGCGCTGCTCGCGCGTTGTCTGTGATTAATGATCGATGGCGAACGCGTACCGTGTACATATAGCTATGATTAACGATATACGTGTGTGTATATGGATACACATGTGTATATAGGTTCTATTTGTAGAGCACCTAGTGCATTTCTCTATATAAACCGTTACCGTGAGATCGTATATGTATGTTATATGGAATGAAAAAGATTGTTTTCAGTAGCGAAGTATCCACATTTTCTTGCAAGTGTTTTAGAAGAATGTCCTGCTATTGAAGGATTAAATAGTGGATGACATTGAAACTCGGTTATAGGAATTTACTTGTAAATATGTGCGCGAACAGTCCGAACCGTATATGCAACACCGATGTATTATTAACGTAGGATTAAATTTAGATTTTGTTTAAGGTAATTTTTTTTCTCTCTAATGTAACGCGACAAATGGTCCTGATTATTTACAAGTTGAAAATAAAATGAACGTTTCGAAATTGTATACATTTCTTACTTGCTTGTTTTCGAGTATTTATAAACGTTGCTCGCGCTTACGATGGTATTAAATATAAACAAGTGTATAACACAATAGTCCGTAGACGATTGATAAAAATAAAGGATGCAATTATGCATGGAATGCAGACTTACCGGTGTCGATTTCTTGCGCCTGTGTTGGATCGGGTAATGGTTTATCGTGCAGTCGTAAATAAACCTCCACTGCACATTTCGCTGCTTTAAAATAAAATGGGTGAGCTCGAAGCACATCTTCTAACCTTAGAAGACCCACGTAAGACCGCAAGGTCATCTTTCTCATACAGTAGGTATGAAAGTCGAATTGATCTTCTATGATTTCAGAAAAGTGCTACAATCGATGGAATCCGTTTTAAGGGTGTGTAATGATGAAATCGTTACTCGCAGAAATATATCGTGAAACTTACCCTGTCGACCTCGTGGCATTTCTTTAACGCTTCCCCGTACTTTCCAAGGCGTTTGTAAGCGTTTGCCGCTTCTGTCTGAATCCACATGCACTGCATTTCGTTTAGATTCTCCATAGCTAATACACCTTCCCTAGTGAATTTGCCGCACGTTTCTTCCGCCTCTTTGATGAGATTTGCGCGCAACATGTACTTGGCACATTTGGAGTTAATATATCGATCTGCAGTATCTAATCCTTGTGCTTCGTCTAACCATTTATAAGCCTCTTGAACATTACCAGCATGCTAATGAGGACAAAATCCATATAGATTAGAATACATTACGCGTAAAACTATTCGAAGCAAAGAATGCCTGAATAACACGGTACAAACCTTATAAATGCGTCCTTTGGTAACAAAAAGTTCTATAAGTGTAGGAGTATGTTCTATGGCAGCATCAATTTCATTCAGTGCTTTTTCTGTAAGTCCAAGATGGTCGTAATGTTGTGCTAAATAATAATAAGTCCATAACAATGCCGAAGCTGGCTCTCGCGGATTATCTTTTTCTTGATCACTAAAATGCTCATGAGCTTTTAATGCTTCCTTGTATTCCAAAACTAAAGACTGTATAGTGTCAACCTTCGGTTGATTAATATATAGAGAACGAAGATTTACGAACAGAGGCGGTACACCTTTATGAAGACCTGTGTTACAAATAAAATACGGATAAATAAAACAACTGCTCTAGAATACTTCTATCAATGGTACGATAAAATTGAACGAGATACGTATGAAGTAACCATAAATAATACCTCTTCGTAAGTACCGATCGACTAATGATTTAAATTCGTCCCCTGAAGCGTAATTTAATTGTAAACGACGCGGCGCTAGCGCTCGAGGAAACAGCAGTTCGTAATCTTGGAGCATAGCTAATGTTTCTTCGGGATCAGAATGTCTTTCAGCCTCTGCTAGCCTAGCGTAATAAGTTGTGTTTTCAGGGTTTATATTTATAAGTTCTTTGTAAACCTGTACTGCTTCTTCGTATTGTTTTAATTGTAATCTTAATTTACCTACGAAAAGAAACAATGAAATTGATGAACATACATTATTATGAAACATTTAACAAATATTGTAATTAGATTATAGAAAATATCTAACTCACCATATGTTTCTTTTACAGTAACTTTATCACAAATTTGTTCACTATATTTGTCAAGATGTTTCAATGCTTGCTCACATTCCCCTGATTCCTGGATAACCATGTTTTGGTATAACAATAACTCACTATGTTCATAATCATAACAAATCTGCAGATGTTACAAATATTTTCATATTATACACTGTTATACATAATGTTTAACTAATATCTTTAGAAAAAAATAGAAGTAATTCTTATTTTTTATATCTTTCCCATATAAACAAACTATACAGTATTGAAATACATACCATTGGGGAATTTCGAAAAGTGTCTAAAATTTTAAGTGCCATTTCATAGTCCTTTAATAAATGATATGAGATAGCAAAGCCAATCCATGATGCACGTTGTGTAGGACGTAACATAAATAAGTGATATCTTGTATCCTGAAAAAAATATACATGTCAATATCAATATGAGGCCTAAGGTATTATAATTTACATCTGATAGTTTATATTTCCTGTTTACTTCTAGTACTTATATCAACATAGCACAATTAATGCACTGCTTAATTAATTTCCTCTTTATGTTATATAACTTACAACTACAAGTGAAAACCTCATCTATATCTCATTCATGAATAATTAATGCTGACACAAATGTATTACATTCTATCTATGTGTAAATATGAATCTACATATTATGGCAAATTATACTATGTTACCATCAAATAGAAACTAGGTTAGTAGTGTAAACTTGTAAGAAATAAATATAAGAGTAATGTAAATGAAATATAAAGAAATGAAAACTAAACTCTTTGTGTTAAACATTTACCTTATAACCCTCCAGATCCCTCATTTGAATTTGAAGCAACGATAAGTCCCTAAGAATTTGTATGTTATCGTTGTCCCGTTTAAGGGCATTCCTATAACACTTAATGGCTTCATCGTATTTCTTATCCGAGCGTTGTAGAAGTCCATAAACGTGCCAACAAACATGAGACTGCAGATCATTCCTAAGACCTCTCCGGACATGATCGTATGCTTCTTCCTTGCGACCTAAGCAGTTCAGAGTGAGACCTTTCATTGCCAAGGTCTCTCCATGTTCACTAAATTTAGGGTTTGATAAAATTTGCTTTGCAAACTTTATCCCATTTTTATACTGTTTGTGTTCGTAACACCTCTGCAAGAAACATAAATACGTTTCATAGAATAAAACGTTTTCATGATTTCGGTACTATGTACTTGAATAAACTGGCATTATAGAGTACTGTAAAAGGCAAACATGAAATCATGTTTTCATTCATAACATCAATGAAATTTTTATGATTTGTGATTGCCAGTGAATTTTTTACAGTTTTTCGAAGAGTGCTTCATCATTACAGCATGATGAATACTCCTATTAGCCGGAGAGTGGGGTCCAAAACAGAGTATTTTGATTGCATGTTACTCACCAGAATTCGTTTAAACAAGGCATTTTCTTTGGGTGGCAAGGGATTGCTGGAGGACATTTTTGTATAAATACAAAAATATGGGGCCTTTTCCACCCGGTAAACTTAATTTTCACCACAAAACCTCGTGGCCACAAACGAAGAAGTCGATCTTCGATCACGTGATCATCTGCGACAATGCTGTTCCGCCGGAAGTTCTACATCCACGGTACCGCAACTTTAATATATATTATGACTTTTACAAATTTTTTAGCAACAATGATACGTTCCTCGTGTTTGCTGTCGTTTATATTACGTTCTCTTTGATACGTTCGATGATTTTACCTTTTTCGGAATTGCATGAAATACGTGCATGTAAGTAATGATAACTAACGATACTTAAGGAGTATCTCTATGAATTTACAAAGGTTATGCTGAAAATAACATTGTTCGAATTGCGCGTTTTGAAAAGCGTAACAATATAATTTTCTTGTTTAAATATATTTTGTATAAATTTTATGCATGTATTGTTGAAATTACTTTCTATCTTTCAAATTGTTAATAACATTAAGTGTTATTTACAAATTGTTTACATCATGATTGGTCTGCTATTGAAGACAAGTCGTATGGTTTGTATATCCGCATAAACCTGAAATTAGTGTAGGCTTACAAATGTTTTAAATAAATTTAGAGTACAAAAATATGAAACATAAAGACATAAAAAGTCAGTAGCTTATATTCTTTATAGTACAATTTTAATAAAACTAAGGAAGCAGCAATTTTTATACAATATACATAGGTACGATTTTGTTTCGTTGCACAAGAGGTTATCAAAATAAATAATCTCATTGAACATTTAAGAAAACTTGATTTATGAAATACATTTCAGGTTTTATAGTTTGAAACATTAACTTATTTATATATACCCGAACGTGTGCTTACCAGATTTTGTGTATATCAAATATCATGATGTCATTAATGTGTCGAAAATTGTGTTCTTCTATTTTATGTGAACATTTTGGACATATTGTTCAGTGTGTAGGTGAAGATTTATTAAGATATGGTCCAAAACCATTAGGTTTAATTCGACACACAACACATCTGTCTGTAGCAAAGGTACAAATTAATTTATATAATTTACTTTAAAAATTTTTATTCGAAAATTTAATGTTATTTTTAGATTAAAGAAGCATTGTGTGTTCTAATAAAATATGGTTTTGTCACACATCATCAGACTGAGAGAGGAGTAGAATATTCTTTAAATTCTGACAAAATTATAATGATCCTCCGTTATCCTAGGTAATGTATAATTTATATTTCACAAATGTTATTGTTTTTACTCCAGAAATGGTGTAAATGAAGAAAAGTGAAATTGTTAAAGATTGGACATTCTAATTTTAATTTTAATAGGTATATGTTCTTTGTAAAAACAGTGTGTGGAGATGAATCTGAAATGATGTTGGAAGAAGTACTGAAGCATGGATATATGACAGCTTCTGAATTAATTGTGAAAACATACAAAAGAATTGAACAATCACCTTGTATGTAAATTTATATTTTGTTTTTTAGCTAGAAAAGACTTAAGATTGATGTTGAAATGAAATTTGTATCTTTTAACAATTTATTCGTATTTCTAGCTGACCTACAGCCATCAGTTCCAGTTTTAAAAGAAAAACTTGAATTACTAGTTAAAAACCAATTTTTAATGCGTAGTTTATATACAGAAACAATTGAAGAAAAGGTCAGTGAAAAGCCTGACTTTAACTTACCAGAGTTGAATATTGCTGTAATTGGTAAGCAATTACAAGGAGGCACTGGTGATCCTGGAGATAATAAAATTTATTGGAAAGTTAATTTTGATCGGTTTACTCAGGATCTTAGGTAAGATTTACAAGAAATATGATGAATATAAGACACATAAGAAATTTGCAATGTAATCTATAGGGATCAAATTATTATATCAGCTATGCACAAAAGACTTGATGAAAATGCAGGAGAATTGATGAGGCAATTATTATTTCTTATGTACCTGAGAACAGCATCATGGGCAGATACATCTAATCCCATACCTCTTACAGAAATAAAAGAAGCAGTTAGAAAAATCAATTATCCAGTACTTGCTCAACATCTTGATCAATATTTACGTCTCATTGGTATGGACAATAGGTGTATATAAAAGGTTTTGTCAAATGTTTAAATATTACGAAAGGCATTGCATTACATTTAACTAGTGTATTATTTTAGAGGAAGATACTAGTCAATTTTTAAAACGGGTTGGCGATTCGGGAGGTGGCCAGTATAGCGTTAACATGAAAGAAGCTTTTAATCAATTGGCATGGACAACTTTAGAAAATATCGTAATGGAACGGTTCGGTTCCAAAGCAGCTAGGATTTTTAGGTACAATATAAGCCACCATTTTTTAGTAATATTTAATATCGATTCAGCTAGAGAACTCTCATTTTACTACGCAGGTTAGTACGCGATAGGAAATACATTGAACAAGAACGAATTCAACAATTAGCGATGATTCCGGCAAAGGAAGCTAAGCATCTGACATATACTCTATTGCAAGAGAATTACCTACAAATGCAAGAAATAAAGAAAACTGGAGTATCCGCTGCACCGATGAAAACGTTCTTTTTGTTTCATATTGATTTGAACATGGTTGCTCGCATGGAAGTCGAACATTGCTTTCATGCATTATACAACACTATGCAAAGACGAGAATATGAAGTGAGCTGTAATAAACGGATGATTGATAAGCAATTACGAATGCAGACTCTCGCGAGTAATTTAAAAGAGCATGGTGCTACTGACGAGCAATTAGCAGAGGTGCATATACTTATTATATTGTTTGCAGGTATACAGTAAGAAAGTAACTACATTCAAATTATTCACAGATTGCAGACATGATGACACCGTCTGAGAAACAACAATTAGAAAAAGTTCAAAATACAATTAAGAAATTGGGCATCACTGAATTGCAGATAGACGATACTCTGTTCCTATTAACAATGTATTTACGTTATCGTTGAATAAAGGCATATTTTTTGTAAATATGTCGCATCGTCATGAATGCTATTCCGTAATAAATAACGCTACCCACTTTTTACTACACTTGTGTACGGTATTAACGCGTGATCTCGCGAAAAAAAAACAAATACATAATGTTTCATTCATTTATATAGTTATTTATTTATGTATAATAATGGTTACGCTTGTAAAATACAAACAACAAAGAATACCTAACTTTCAAATTATTGTAATAAATATAATCATATATCTATGTTTATAATAGTGCTGCTCTCTATGTGATACAGTGCATTTGATGTCACTATCTATCAGGGAAAATGATCTTGGAGTACACACCTTTGAACGTTCTACCATTGACAAACACTTTCGTGTAATTATACTTTTTGATCTATGCGATATGAATGTATGTTAGTTGATTAGAAACAAATCATTAGAGTTATGAATCACAGCCAGCTCAAGGTGCCTTATGGATCAGTAAATAAGTCGAACGCTGCAAATGCTATTTATAATTAGCTAAAACGTAATTCCATTACGGTATGTAAAGACTGGAGACCATCATTTTTGGTGTGTCGCTACTAACGTACGTTTTACATCCAAGTATGATTTTCCCTTAATTCCTATTATATGCTTTGTACGTTCATCTCAACACTACCGCGATAGAAACGGACTTACGTCCGTCGTTAAATACTTATTAGTCATGAAAATCCAAAGCAGATAGTGTTAACAGTGCTGGTTCACCGATCTTAAATATACATATTTTGATTGTACGCTATTGACACCAATTAATAACGTGTACTACAGCCTGTCGCGTGTAGTGATAAGATGATCGTGAGCGTTTAATTGCATCCAAATATGCATTTGACTGATTTTATACTCTTCTTTTCTCTCCCTCTCTCTCGCTCGCTCTCTCTTTCTCCTCTCTTTGACACATATGCATACACACGCACACCCCTCTTTTGCTCCTCGCTCATTTACACGGTACTGCATAGACTATGTACACTGCACGTACATACAAGTTTCTTCTAGAAATAACGTTGTATACCTAAAACTAAGGTTGAATTTCGGTAAAGCGTTATTTTATTATATTTTTTTTCATACCATTAACAACAACGTACATGTAAATGAAGTGAATTCTTGGAATATTGAGATTGGATGTTAGTGTTCACTTTTTTTTTCTTCGTTACGTTAAATATACTATAATATTAGTAATGTATTCGTTTTACAATTTACTATTCTTACAGTTTGCATTCGCACTGGTTGCATTTCTCTTTCATTTTTTCTCTCTTTCTCTCTCTCTCTCTCGTTCATAAGATCCGATCAATTTACACAGCGAGTGCGTCGAGATAATCGCGAAAATGTTTCTACGTATAAAAAACGAAACCAAAACAAAGAAAAACAGAAAAAGGAAAATAGGATTATCCAGAATTGTGCGCTATCGACGAACATTTTTACGAGAACCAAGGAAAATCGATCTTTCGTTTCGATCACATGATCGCAATCCATGGAATGCAGAACTGAGATTATTCCTATAGTAAACATTGCGCTGGAAGGAATAATTGAAATCGATGAGAATTTCACGAGGGAGACATGAGCCGAGCTTAACTATATATGTACGTATGTATATACGCGATTCGAACGTGTTTTTTTTTTCTGAATGAAACGAAACCGAAAGGGACGACAAAAAAAAATAAAGCGAATTGTCTCGAAAGGTTATAAAGATATGGCACAATAGGAAACAGTATGTAAGGCGCGTAAATATCTTCCACATTATCGATCGATTTAATCGCAATTATTTCACTCGTGACAGATAAACAAGGCTGAACTGTCGATCTTTGGGGGTTAAACTGGCGAGAATAAAAGGGAAACGAAGAAAAGAAGGCGGTAACCCAATAATTTTCAAAGGAGACGCAGAAATGTCCAACGAAAGTGCGCGTATTTCGGTTTAACCAGAACACGATGAAGAAGAAAAAAACGAACGTTTCTAATTTGTTTCTGTGAACGACACGTGACACTAAGAATTTTTTGAGTATTCGAGCACGCGAAAACGATCAACGAAAACTTCGTGTCGCCGTAGTCGTCGTCGTCGTTGTCATGTGAACTGGCACGTACAACCTCTATTGCTATGCGTAATAAGGATAATTATTTAGAAAAAAAAAAGAGAGAAATAATAAAATATTAATAATAATAATCATAGTAATAATAAGAATAGTACTAAATAAAACTGATGTGACAATAATAATATTAAGGATAATAGACATAATAATGACCAAATGAAAATAAGAATATGCATCGCATTTTTAACATTTCGTTAAATCTACGTGTTCTCGAGTAAATTACATATAATATGTAGCGCTATGCAAGATACATCACAATATAGTTACACTGTACATTCAAATAGTATTGACACTTCATTTTTTTTTTCTTGCGTCGGGTCGATTTCTCTCTCTCTCTCTCTCTCATTCGTTCGTTCATTCTCGTTCTCTCTCTTTCGATCGACGAACACACCGCCGACGCAGTTGTACAAATCCATGTATATACATAAAATAAATTATTATTCAACATTAAGCTATCCTATCTGCCGCCGGCCGCGGTATTCGAGAATGCAACCCGACGAAACGCGGGCGCAGATACATCGAGGATACTGGCTCTCTTTATAAAATTATATTAGGTACCTTGTATAGAATTGCACTGATTATAAATAACGAAAGGAAAAAAAAAATAAAGAGAAGAGAAAAAAAACGGTGAAAGAGG